TCAGGACATTGAGACCGTGACCTGAGCCAAAATCAAGAGTCTGATGCTTAACCAATGAGCCACCCAGGCACCCCAATTCTGTTTTTTATTAGAAAAAAAATGAATGTTTATATATGCATGAGTGTGAGCGCATATAGGTATAAATCAGAAAAGTAGTGGAAGACTGGCCAAGTACAACTCTTCCCAATTTTTGTTTTATAAGAAGTACTATATTTCCCACCTTTCAATTTCAGTGTTAGAAGAATAGAAATAACTCAGAACAAATAGCTAATTTGACATAGTGATTATTAGAAAATCATCTATTTTCTTATACTTTTTTCTTTTTTTTTAAAGATTTTATTTATTTGACAGAGAGAGAGACAGCAAGAGCAGGAACACAAGCAGGGGGAGTAGGAGAGGGAGAAGCAGGCTTCCCGGCGAGCAGGGAGCCCAATGCGGGCTCGATCCCAGGACCCCGGGATCATGACCTAAGCCGAAGGCAAATGCTTAAGGACTGAGCCACCCAGGCGCCACTTTTTATACTTTTAATATGTTTTTCGTCACTTATTCTTTAAATCATCTTTAGAATCACTGAGAAGATTTGGGAGTCTGGAAGTTATACAGTCATTAAGGGAGGAAAAGTGAAAGTTTCAGGGGGAGCTGTACAGATTACAAAGAATGTTGGAGAAAATTAGGGCTGAGATGGAGGGGCTAAGAAATTACAATTCAAAGATGCATTTACTTTTTTAGCAAGTTTTTAAATTCAGTATCTAGTGTTCTTAGAACTGTTCTGCTGGGGCTCCGTGATGACCAAAACTGGCACAGTCTGGCTGCTAAGAGGTCCGGAAGAGATAGGCTCCTTTCCTCCACCACTTCCTTCTGAGCACCTCCTACTCCTGACCTTGTGTGTGCTGAGGAGAACAGGTCATACAAGGCTGCTGCCCTTGTGAAGCTGGCAGGAGTATCTGATGAGCAAATAAACATGGGGTATTTCTGGTAGTGACAAGAGTTAGGAAGAAAGCAAAACAGGGACAATGACGAGAGTGACTAGGGTTCACCGAATTTACATGGATACTTCTGACAGAGTGATCAGATAAGAACTTTCCAGGAAGGGACATTTGCCCTGAGATTTGAACATGGAAAAGGAGGTAGCCCTGTGAAGATTGGAGAGAATGATATTCTGGGTAGAAAGAAAAGTACAAAAAAATATGTATATAAAAACCCTGAAGTTGCTGTGGTCAGATGTTGTGGTCAGTGTGGTCCCCCAAACTCATATATTAAACCTCTAACTTTCAACATAACTCTATTTGGAGGTAGGGCCTATAAGAAGGAAATTAAGGTCATAGGGATGAGGCCCTGATACACTAGGAATAGTATCCTTATAAATGCACTCTCTTCTAGCTATGTGAGAACACAGTGAGAAGGTGGTCTTCTGTAAGCCAGGAAGAGAGCCCTCAACAGAAACCAAATTGGACTTCCCAACCTCCAGAACTGTGAGAAAATAAATTTCTGTCATTTAAGCCACCTAGTCTATGGCGTTTTGCTATAGCAGTCCAAGTTGACTAAGACATCAGATTTAGGGTGTATTTAGGTTAGAGCTTATAAGACTTCCCAACAGATCAAAAGTGTAGAATAGGGGGAAAAGCATCAAAAGTAACATTGAGGCTTTTTGCCTGAGCGTCTGAGGGAATGAGGTGCATTAAATACAATGGGAAGATGGAGTAGGAGGGGGAGTACATGAAGGGGAAGAGGCAAAATCAGGAGTTTCATTGTACACTCATTAAGTTTAAGATCGCCACCTGTTAGACATTGTCATGGAGCCGGACATACAAGTTGGGGCCAAGTTGAGTGTCATCAACATTTAGATTGGCTTTAAAGCTGTGGAACTGTATGAGTCCCCCCTAGTAGGATGTGTCCACAGGGAGCCCAGTGGCATTCCAACAGTTTGAGGAGCATTGAAGACAGAGAAGCCAGTAAAAGTAGAAGAAACTTGTGACACAAGGAAAACATCAGAAACCAAGAGCAGGCAAGTGCTGCTAAGAGGTTGAGTGAGATGAAAACAGAGATTGCAGGCTGGGTTTGGCAGGCGGAGGTCTTAGGGCCTTTAGATGACAGGAGTCTTGGTGGAGTCAGGGAAGCCAAAGCCTGACTGAAAAGAGTGAGAATGGGAGGTAAAGAAGTAGAGATGAGTCATGTGTGGAACTGTGCTCCAGTGGGAAGCAGAGGAATGAGGCTGTACATAAAAAAGATGAGGATCAAGAGACAATTTTTTTTAAGATTTTATTTATTTATTTGATAGAGAGAGAGACAGCGAGAGAGGGAACACAAGCAGGGGGAGTGGGAGAGGGAGAAGCAGACTCCCCGCGGAGCAAGGAGCCCGATGGGGGGCTTGATCCCAGGACCCTGGGATCATGACCTGAGCTGAAGGCAGATGCTTAATGACTGAGCCACCCAGGTGCCCCCCAAGAGACAATTTTAAAAAATATTTTTGTGATGGAATATTTTAAATGTATAAAAAAGTAGATCCAATAGTACAATAGATTTCACATGCATCAACAGCTTTTAGAATGAGCCATTTTGTTCATCTGTGCTGCTATGCACTTACACAGTTCTGTATTATTTTGAAGCAAATTGTATATATTATTTCATCTGTAATATTTGAGAGTATATCTCTAAGAGACAAGGATTCCTTGCAAAGAAATATAATCACAATACCCTATGACATCTAAAAAGAACAGATAATAATCTCTTAATACCAAACATCTAGAGTGTTCAAAGTTCTAATTATCTCACAAATGTCACAAATTTTAATGATTTGTTTGAATTAATTCCCAAACAGGATCTACCCATTGCAAGTTCTTTTGGTTTGATATTGCTATGTCTTTTTTTGTTGTTTTTGTTTTGTTTTGTTTTGCTATGTCTTTTAAATCTTTTAGTCTAAATATTCTCTCTCCATCTTTTGTCCTCCTTGAAATTTATTTTCAAAGAAACCAGTATGTCCTGTAGAGTTTCCTACAGTCTGAGTATGCCTGATTGGACTTCTGTGATTTTGTTTAACAAATTTTGTATTTCCCCAAAGTTGATGGTTGGATCCAAAAGCTTGATCAGAATCAGGTTTAAATTTTTTGGCATGATTAATTCAGAGATGATGGTATGTTTATCCATCAAGAAGAACATAATGTCTGGTTGTCTCTCTTTTTGTGTTGTTAGCAGCCATTGATGCTCTCTGTCCAGATACATTAATTCATTAAGGATTGCAAAATGGTGACATTCCAATTCTATCCTTGCTTCTTTATTTATTAGCTGGAATACTTCCCTTATCAATTTTTGGTTACTTACTGTTACAGTTTGTTAAGAAAGACAATAAATGTTTGATTCTTTCTCTTTTAACAGTTTTCAAAAATAGTAAGTAAACTCTTTAGTATCTTCCAACAATGAATGATTTTTAAAAATAATACTATGAATTCGTGGATTTAAATATACTCATTGTTTTCAATACATTGTAGTTAGTATCCTTGAAGTTCAAATTGCCCCCATTGTGGGCAATGGGAACTTCTTTGATTTGGCCCCAGAATATTTTTTTTTAAGATTTTATTTATTTATTTGACAGAGAGAGAAAGAGACAGCGAGAGAGGGAACACAAGCAGGGGGAGTGGGAGAGGGAGAAGCAGGCTTCCCGCCGAGCAGGGAGCCTGATGCGGGGCTTGATCCCAGGACCCTGGGATCATGACCTGAGCCGAAGGCAGATGCTTAGTGACTGAGCCACCCAGGTGCCCCGGCCCCAGAATATTTTTGATAATCCCTGGTAGTTATTTATAGATTCCTTGATATCTGGTATTCTAGGCTTATCTTGTATGATTTCTATCTTACATGGTAATCAGCTATTTCTTCAAAAAGAATAATTTTTATTTTAAGTGTGAGATGCTAAAGCATATTTGTACATTGAGGGGGATAATCCAGATGAGAGGAAATAACTATAGGAGCACAATCCTCAGTAGAAAAGGGAGGATGGGATATGTGGAAACGTTGGCCTTAGATTGAAACAGGGACAGTTAATTCATTGTAGTGGTGCACTGGGAAAGCAAAATGCTCTAGAAAAATAGGAGGCATATGGATGACTAAAAAATAAAACTGCCTATATGATTCTGTGTTAAGTTGCCACATTTCCCACTTACAAATTCTACATTTACAGGTATAAAATTTACCTACTTATTTCCTGAATCACTGATATGTTGAACACTTTTGTTGTCCTATAAATAACTTCCATAATCAAAAATCTCAAAATATGGGCTCCTGGGTTGCTCAGTCTTTTGAGCTTCAGACTCCTGGTTTCAGTCTTGGTCATGATCTCAGGGTCATGGAATCAAGCACCACATGGGGCTCCATGCTTGGTTCAGAGTATGCTCGGGATTCTCTCTCTCTCTCTCCCTCTGCCCCGCCTCCCATCTCTCTCTTTCTAAAATAAATAAATAAAATCTTTAAAAAGAAAACCAAAAATCTCAAAATAGATGACTAGCAATACACTAAACTTTTGAGATTTTTCATGGATTGTTAAGATTTCAAACTCAAAATAAAAATACTTAGCTTTCCAGATTTAAATATTGTTCATTTAAAATTATTTTCCTTTTAATTTCCAAGCTGAGTATTTATTTACTCTTTATATATTTGAAAAAGTGAAAAATATTGATCTTGGGGTTTCTTTGCTTTTACTGGCTTGAATCATGACAATAGAAGTGTCTCTTTGTAAGTCACAAAGTTCCCAGCTAATGAATGTCACTGACATACAAATGGCTATCCCATCTTGTCTGACTTGGCTGAAGAGGTATCCCTACCCCCTTCCTTCATACTCATTACTGCTGATAGATCCATTCCATTCCTCTCTTTACAGGGGCTGTAACATCATCTCTTCTCCCCATTTCCTTCTCATGTTTGTTTCACTACATTATTAATGCTTTCAAGGAATGTCCAGATATTGTAAAACAAAAACAAAAAAAATGTGAACTCATTTCTGTCTTCTTTAGGCCTGTTGTAGATGTGCTACATGAGATTGGCAATCTCTCCTCTCCCTACCAGAATCCCGTCTCCCCTGGATTCTTGGGCCCAGCTGGATGAGAGGGCAATTTGGAAGAGATAGGATGGGTTTAAGTCATCTTGAAACCTGAAATACATCTTTTAATGCCATTCAAACAAGAGACTACAAAAAGGTAACCTTACAGCAAGACCCTGACAATGGAAGTGGTTAGGAAAGAAAAAGAAAAATGTAGGGAGGAGAAGAGTAATGATGGTAAATGTTACAGTTTTGAAATATTGCTTAGAATCACCTAGCAAAAACTGAAAAAGGAAACTGCTCTCCATTCTCTTCTTTCTTCCTGTGACATCAAGGCTCCCTCGCCCCAGGATCCTGAAATTGATCTACTTATTAATGGTACTAATGTGATACAGGGCAGGGGCATTAGAGTTAAAAAGTATGATTTTGAGGAACTTGACTACAATTATTTGGATGGAAAAATTTTATTCCAATTTTTTAGTAATCAGTTTTCAAACTGTCTTTGCAGCCCAGTGTAATCATAAATTGCAAATACGTACGTGAGCTGTTTATGCAAAGTCAGATTTTCAAAGTTCAAATTAGAATCTAATTACTCAGCTTGCAGAAGTATTCACCCTAGGATTCCTTTACAACAGGAACTTCTTTAGTGTTTGGTTCCAGACCATTAACTACTTGATAGAGAATCTATGGGTGGGTTAAGCAGCCTAATGTACAAAAGTTGGAAACTGTTAGACAAAGATAGATGAAAAATGAATCTTAAATAAATTATAGGGAGATAAGAAAATAGAATTGATTTGTCGATCAATCCATCTTACAAATAAATCTATTTGTGAAAGTGAGGTAGGGCCTTAATTGTTGTCACCAGGCACATAGTATAATTTTGTTGTAGTTTGTTACAGGGAGTGATCAAGTATTTTCTTCTTACAACATGAAATACTTACTGACATTTCCTTATTCCATTCCATAGATTTATCTGAGTATTATATTATGCATTTAACTGAAATGTTTATATATCTGCTTGGTGCTTGGGAAAGGAAGTGCAGTATCACCACCGCATATATCCCAGAGAATTATTAAAATTTAATGAGCATCAGTTAGTGATAAATCCTATAGTGATAATATAAACAAGATGGTGAAGTAAGGCAGTTATCTAGGTAATTTGGGAAAATGCAGAGTTGTTTTGCTTGATTCTTCTAGATTTTTAAGAACATTCCTCTAGAATTTAATATTTATAGCCCTGAGCAATTTGAGTGGGGCAGAAGTTTAGCAACCTGTCCACAGAGAGCCTTTGTTCTGAGCTGGTAACTGAATCACATGCATAGAAGGACACCTCTCTCATTTTACATGAGTTTCCAGCTTAAGGTTGAAAGCCAATAAACACTTCATAATACTAATTCAATTCAACTTGACAATAGTGAGCTCCACCGATCAACTGTGCTAGATGCTGGGATTACTCAGTCTGGAGTCTCATGGGGTTTCTGACCTAGTGAGGAACACTAAAATAATAACACATTTTAACTTAAGATATGACATGCTCTAAAAGCAATGTCTAAACAAAATTCCATGGGTATAAAGCAAGAAGACAGATTTGTTCTGAGAAGTCTTTGTGGAAAATGCATCTTTTTAGGCTGGGCTTAAAGGACAAGGAAGTTTTCAATAGGCCGAGATGGTGGAAGATACTTTTCTGAAAGAGAAGTACAGAGGCAGGAAAACACAAGACATCTTTAGAGAACTATGAGATGTCCTGTGGGACTCAGACTTAGGCTGTGGGAATGTGCTGTGGTATTCAGAAATAGTTCAAGACCCGAATTACAGGTTTTGGCAGACTAAAACAAGAAGACTGCTTTCCTAATTGGCAACCGGTAGCTGGGGAAAGTTTTTGATCATAGATTGTTCTGCTTAGTGCGAGTAGCTCTTGTACCAGTTTGCAGGACTGGAAGGGGTAGAAACTGGAGTGTTGGAGATCAAATAGAAAACTTGCATTTGCCTAATGAGGAGCAAATAGGGCTCTGAATTAGTTCAGGAACAATGGGAATGGAAAGATGGGGTGGTATCTAGGTTTTACCAAGGTAAGGTTGTGATAATCTAGTGACAGACTGGGGAGCATGGGAGTGGGGGCGATGCAGGAGCCCCCTACATTTATGCAGAGGAAGAGAAAGAGAAAAATATGAAGATGGTGTAAGTTAGGAGAAGGCCTAACCAGTATCTCAGAAACCAGATGAGGAGAGCATTTCAAGAAGGTCAACAGAAATAAATGATTCAGAGAAATACAGTAAAATGAGGACAAAGAAGAAATAAATAGATTAAATAAATAAATTTAACAAAGTTGCTGTTAATTTTTTTAGGTTTATTTATTTTAGAGAGAGAGAGAGAGAGTGGGGGGGAGCAGAGTGAGAGGGAGAGAGAGAGAGAGAGTTGGGGGGAGGGGAGCAGAGTGAGAGGGAGAGAGAGTCTTAAGCAGACTTTGCGCTGAGGGCAGAGCCTGACTCCGGGCTTGATCTTACAACCCTGAGACCACGACCTGAGCCGAAACCAAGAGTCGGACACTCAACCAACTGAACCACCCAGGCACCCAAAGGTTGCTGTCAATTTTTTTTTAAGATTTTATTTGTTTATTTGAGAGAGAGACTGAGATAGAGAGAGCATGAGAGGGGGGAGGGTCAGAGGGAGAAGCAGACTCCCCTCCGAGCAGGGAGCCCAATGCGGGAGTCGATCCCAGGACTCCAGGATCATGACCTGAGCCGAAGGCAGTCACTCAACCAACTGAGCCACCCAGGCACCCGGGAGGGTTATTTTTTGAAGGGAATAAAGTTGAAAAGAAAGTCGTATAAGGATAAGGCTGATTCTAAGGAGACAGCAAAGAGGTGAGATGGTAGTCTGTTACACTGATGACCCCCCAGTGAGCTGTGTCTCCCAGTATTCGTGTCCTTGTGTCCCTTGAGTCTGGGATGGCTCGATGACCAATAGAATGTGATATTTTGGAAAGGTTTCCAAGTCAAGTCATTAAGAAGACCTGACAGCTTCTACTTTTGTACTCTGGAGAAGCCAGACATCATACAAGAGCTCCAAACCTGATACCATCCTGATATGGCGGAAACCCAAGCTATCCACGTGGAGATGCCACATGGAGTGAGACAGAGATGTCCAGCCAGCTCCCAGATGGTTTAGGCATCTCAGCTGCAGCACCAGACATGAGTGAAAAAGCCAATTTGGGCTTTCCAACCCCAGAAGATGCTACTTGGATCACTGAGGAGCCCTGCTCTGCCAAAACCACAGACTTGTGAGTGAATACATGATTGCTGTTTGAAGCTGCTAAAGTTTTTGAATGCTTGTTATGCAGCAATGGGTGCCTAGAACAGGGGGTTAAAGAAAGAAAGAAACAGGGGGTGCCTGGGTGGCTCAGTTGGTTAAGCATCTGCCTTCAGCTCAGGTGGTGATCTCAGGGTCCTGGGATTGAGCCCCATGTCAGGCTCCCTGCTCAGCAGGGAGTCGGCTTCTCTCTCTCCCTCTGCCCCTCCCCCTGCTCCTTCTCTCTCTCTCAAATAAACAAATAAAATCTTGAAAGAAAGGAAAGAAGGAAAGAAAGAAAGAAGGAAGGAAGGAAAGAAGGAAGGAAGGAAGGAAGGAAGGAAGGAAGGAAGGAAGGAAGGAAGGAAGGAAGGAAGGAAGGAAGGAAGGGAGAAAGAAGTATTAGGGAGGCTGGCTGGCTGGAATAAGGCCCCAAAGAAGATGAGGGGAGATAGAATCAAGTGGAAAAACTGGTCTTCAAAGTGAGGACACTGCTTTTTTGGAGGCAGAAATGATTGAGAGAAGGAGAGATAAAAATTAGACAGGGGTGGGAAGGAAAGTGGACCAACTCAAGCTAGACAGGGAGGCACTGTGTTGGGAATGAGGGTTGCAGGAAGGAGTTGAAAGCTAAAGAGGGAGGAGAAAAATGGTCAATTCTGCATGAAATAGGGGTTCATCCAGGGAGGAGTAAATAAAGGGCAGAGTGGCTATAAGCATCCCCTGGGTGAGTGTGGGGGCCACGAGTTGGTAATGAGGCTAACAGCTCTGGGATTTTTGCACCCACCCTTACTGAGATTGGCTTCCTTCAGGGATCAAAACCTACTGTGTAGTGGGTAAATAGTCATTCTATTTGCTTCAGGAGACATGGACTCTAATTATATAAACAAATGGGGAAAAAGGTATCCTAACTGGAATATTCAAGTGTTTCAAAGTCTTTCAGAGACCCTTCCCACTTTTATGAAAGAATCCATGCACCTGCTGCTTGCCCATTTGCAATACTGGAAATGATTTCCATTAGCAATTGCTGAATCATATACCTGAGATTACAGACAATGCTATTTATACTAAAGAAATTGAGTGCACATCTATTTTAGCTTCCTGTCCTATTTTCATACTTCCATCCATTTGGATATTTGTCCCATATGTTGTCCTCAGCACTCTGTCTTAAACTACTGTCTAGTTACAGCTCAAAAAAGCTTCTGTTCCAAATGGGACTTTATTTCAGTAGGGGGCTGTACTTCCTTTCAAGCCATTACTTAACTGACAGATACTGTGAAGGTTAATTAATCAGTTTTTAAAAGCTCTCTGTGATGGCAAAGAGAAAATAGTTAGTTTTATACCCTTGAATGGTACAGAATGACTTGATTTTTTTTTATAGCTCCTTACATGAAAGGTAAACTATTGGAGGGGCTTGGAATATGAATAGTTGTAGAAAGCCAAAGCTAAATGAGCCAATGACTTTGAGCCACTAAAGGGAGCGTATGTCATGCCCATGTCACTACTGAATAAAATCCAGTTGCTTCTTCGTCCCTCGTCCCTCACCTTGTCTTGACCTCTAGAGGCTCCCTGTTCCCTGGTTTGATAAGTTGGCTTTGAACTCCTGATCCTACTGATTTGTATGCCAGGACTGAACTGTGTTGCTTCTCTCAGTTCTGGCTGCTCAGTCTGACTCTGTGACACATTGCCATCAATATGCTGGTGTTTCACACTTTGACATACTTCCCACTAGGATGTGGCCCCACAATAAGGAAAGAACTTGCCAAGATGCAATATCCATTGACCTGGACCACGCAATGCCTATTGTCATGGCTGAACACAGAGGGTACCCAATGGCCCTCAGGTAATTCTAGAAACTACTAATTAGGTTGATTCACCAGGAAGTTCCAATGGGCCCTTTAAAATATAAGATGGCATGGATTGTTCCAGTTACATAATGTTCCAGTTACATTCAGTGGGAAGATCTGAGTTAGAATTCATTACTGGTTCTTTCAGTCATTAGCTGGGAACTGATTAAGGACTGCTTTACGTGCATGCCTATGTGCCAGAAGTCACATATTAGGACAAGCATAGACTGTCAAGTTAAATGAATATCAGGCTGAAGGAAATTGAGGGTATACATCACAGTATGTACCACAGACGAGCAAACGAAGCATTTCGTCTGAAATAAAAACACATTTTTGCTATCCCAGTCAAACTACATGCTAAATAGATTGGGAAGGAGAAAATAGCATCAAACACATCTATGGCTTGGAAACTGGATTGGCATCAACAAAGCTGGGGAAGTTCAAGCCAGATTTGAGATGTGCTGAAAACCAAATTTCCTAAAGGCCTGGGAGACTTTGGCACATGTTACTGAGCCGTTAAATTCTAGAGCGATTTCATTTGTGCCCAGCTACTTACCATCACCAACATCAAACTTGCGTAATTACCACTGCAGTTTTACTGCTGAAAATGAACTTTTCTTGACCTGAATATGTGCAGAGGGTAAACGGCAGGGAGAGATCTGATCTGCTGTGCATAAAGCTGAAGGGAAACATTCGTAGTAGGCTTGAGCATAAAGATCTCCTCAAAGACATTCGGCAGAACGATTTCCATGTATGGGATAGCCATTGCCTGGTTCGCAACAACAGGCTAAGCAAACTCACTTCACATGAGGCCTTCTGAAACAATAATCAGGAACCAAGATGTCCCAAAGATCATAAAGTGAAGAGTGATGACCTCAGTTAGCAATGCGGGGACGGGTAATTGCTGCTATCTGGAATAAAAATATAACTTTCAATACACGCTTGCAGCAGATGCTGTTATGCACCATCCAGATGCCCCTTTCAGGGCTGGGGTATTCCTTCCCTCAGCTGCAGGGGACCTTGGCTGCCGTCAGCTCGCAGCTCATTTCCTAGCCCTCTGCTGTAGAGAGCTGCCTTTCCCAAGGTCATGCCCCCTCCTGGGACAGCCCACCTCCAGTGACTGTCAAATAGGGGATACAAAGGCCTCTCTGCCTTGTCTTGATTCAAGATACCCTGAAGGGCCATCGCATCCCAGTTAATTGGTTCCCCTGTAGGACAGCGGGAGGCATCTATTATAGCGGCCTCACGGTCCTTCTTGCTCTGCGCTATTATCCTGCTCCCCTGATGCCCCAACAGGTGCTGTTCTTGAGAGCTCTCCTCAGTAAACCTGTTTCAGGCAAATCTCGGCCTCAATCCCTTTCCCCAGGAACCCAACCTAAGACGATGCTAATCTGATACGGCACGTGGTGGGACAAAAATGATCAGCAGATGCTATTCCCAGGCCTTCCTTTCTCCTACTCTCCAAAGAGGAGTCAGACTTTGCCTGTTTCCTTTCTTGCCAACCCCCTCCCCCACACACACACCGCCCACGCCGCCTCCTCCCAGCAGCATACTGCCTGGCAGAGTTTTGACAAAAGGAGAAAGGTGGTGCGGAGAAGGGTGAGAACACTGTGAGAAGAGGTGCAGGAGAGGCTGTGGCAAATAATGAAACTATTTGGGGTGGAAAGATTTTAAGCAATATCATTGTGCTCAGCCTCGCCCTTTCATGGCATTGAAACAGCGGAAGCACAGAACGTGGATTGTTTGCAAATTAATTTTTGAGACTGGACTGCCATTCCACCCTGAGTTTGGATTACAATGGTCACAATTTTTAAGCTTTACGTGTGAATATAGACAACCTCATCTTTGGATGTCAATGGTTATGCAAGCAAAACTGTATGTTTCTGGAGTGTTTTAAGACGGGGCATAGTTTTACTGTGTATAATCCGCATTCTTTGAATGCAAAAATTTAAGTCAACAAAAATAGATTTATAGAGTTCAGGGCTTTAAACAAAAATGTTTGTAATAATAGAAAAATAATTCAACTATTGCTTCAGCCTTTATCACGAGAGACATATAAACAACTAACTATTAACATAATCTTCCAAAACATCTACACATGTCAGCCATGGGCATGTAAGAGCTAAGGACAGCAGGACAGCAGACTCTAAGGGTATAATGGTCCTAAGAATTTACTTGCAGGAGACTCTCCACAACAAGCCTTTTAGATTCTCTAAATTACAATGTTTGCTCTAATGCCCAAGAGCAACGGCACATGAGTGGAATTGGTGAGGAGTCTGGCCAGGCTGGGGTCTACTTGAGAGTACCTGCAGGGGTGACAAGCAGAGGTCCCTGTCATGCTAGGCTCTGTCGGCCCAGGACTACAGCCGAACTAGACTCCATCAAAGTGGGTTTGAGTTGATTGTAAATCATAGCATCCTGAGTTTACAGGTTGGATGTTTCCTCTATTTTCTTTCTTTTTTCTATTGAAAATTGTCAGCAATTTTTCTTAAGGGTAGAACATTTCTAAGAATAAGCCTTAAAATACAAATAAGTATTTGAATGATGAACTTAAGACAAGTTTGCCAAATGTAATATTTTCACTGGGGTATAGTTCCAAAAGCTGGTAGTGATCATGAGCTGTTAGCAGTCTAGGAATCAGATGTAGTTATGTTCCAAATCGACCAAGATGCTCCAATCTGTCATCCTTAGACTTGTTCTTTCAAGGCGCAATAGACAACCTGTCCTCCTGAGGATCTCTGTTCTTGAGTTTGGTTGCTAAATCCAGGGAAAAAGGACCAATTTATAAAGGGGAAACTTTCGGGACAAGAAGATTAAACATTCTTCAGAGGAAAGGCTGGGGTGCTGTGGGTTGCTCGTGTCCCTTCTATGGCCCATGTTCCTGGTCAACTTTGAGGTTGATCGTCAGCAATCACTACTTATGAGCTTTGATTTTGTTTATTTTTATAATTTATCTTGTAATCTAAATTTTAAAAAATTAGGTCAGAAGCAGGGACATATCTCCTTTATAATGTTATCTGATACATGATATGTGTTTATGTTCCAAAACAGAAATGTGTAGAAATTTAGTACTTTGAATCTTACTCTTAAAAAACCTTTATATTGAAGTATTTATATATATATATATATATATATAATGATAAGTAAA